AGTGAGCTAAATAACAATAAAATGTAAGTGGACCATTTTTAACACTCAGAAAGTGAGCTAAATAATAAAAATGTGTTATTAGGGGCATTTTTTGCATTTAATTTTACACTTGGAGCTCCATAGAAATCAGASTGTATTGTGTGAGTGACTATCAGATACTACCACACAACATTTAGCTCATTATGTGTATCATTGCTGGAGTTAAAGACTTTTTTGTTGGGTAACATTGATTAGCTGTGGTGGTCAACTTACGTTGCATTGACTCCAAACGCTAATCAGATGTAGAGGTAATGATGACTTTATGAAAGTTTCATTCATATTCATCTTCTGGCTCATGAGATATTTTTGCTAATGGTAGAGAACACAGACATAATCTGTGTTTTTACCCTTAACGGCAGACAGTACATATTAATCTTTCTTCCTTTACGCATAATAGGTACGCATAYAGCACTGATCATAAATAAGTCCACAAATAACTCTGCTTTTTCCAAAGGTCAAGAGCAAACAAAATGAAATAAGGTGACAAAAAAGTGTTTKACACTCATCGAAAATGCCTCTTCATTTGCAATTAGACTGTAAAAACAATCAGGGTAAAAGCTACTTACCCCAAAGCACAAGCAGCCAAGCGTGAATTCAAAATGGAGCTTGAGATTAGTGCCGGCCATGACAGGTTGTCATGAAAGTCAGATTCAATCCCAGTCAACCCACCASCAGACTGTAACAATAATGCTAATCTGGGACTCAAGTGAACAACACATTAAAGACCTCATGTGATGAAGGCTCAGCTCAGCGCTGACCTGAACTCTGACCAGATGCTGCTTAAACCAGAACCAAGTCCCTCTTGTTCCTGCAGACAGGAACTCACAGTGGAGATGTGTACCATCTGTGGACTGTTTCATTGTCTTTAGTATGATTTAATTGTTTTTGCTTCTTTAACCCAGAGGCTGGAGGCCCTGTCATTATGAGGACAGTATTTGATTTAGAGCTAGAGCCTCTTTGGAGGAACAACACATAATAAATTCAACTTGAAAGTGAAACAAAAGCAGAGAGAACAAACAACAAAGGGAACACTTGGACGTTCTTTGGATTTGTTCATTCCTTCACAATTGATCAGCCTCAATCCCTTATAAGCTCACTTTTTCCAGCAGGAAGCAAAACACCCGAACAAGAGCAGATTAATTTGAATAGGGAAAATCTGTGGTGGCTGGCTGTCATCAACGCCACTGGGAAAAGACCTAATGATAAATTCTTTGTTTAACACAGTACAACAACAAACTTTGCCTGGTCTCAGTGTGATCGCATGACTAAGAGTCTCAAATATGTCCCCCATGTTCCTGCCTGGCACATTAACTGGATTGCATTCTTCTGTTTGATTTAGTGACTCAGGAGCTGTTGGAACAGTAGACAGACTCCACTGGCTTTGTTAAAAATAACCCTAAAACCAGACAGACAAAGAAAATAAAAGCACTTCATGTAAAGTGAGAATTCTGTTAAAGTACTCGGCAATAACAGCAATTAAAGACTTAGCATTTCTTTAAGGAGTGAATATCATCAGCCGCCTTTTATGCCAGAATTTTAGACTACAATTATCCTATGTTGAAACCCTTGAAAAAAAAACACTTTGTACAATATCCCAAAATGTCACACTCAGAACATGTTAAGATGCTCAGCTCCTACCACACCATCTTCTAGCACAACATCTGTAAAATGGATTGAACTATAACATTTTTTGTGTTTTTAATGGTCAATTGACTGTGGCAGCCATCGTGAATTGATGCCAAATGTTAACCTGTTGTAGATGTACATCTAATAATTACTTTCTGAAAGTTTTATTAAAATCTATCCTATGATTCATGAGATGTTTTGGTAATAAACAAAGTTGACTGCAAATAAAAACAGCTTGTAAACTGGAGGGATTAATGTATCTCCTTTGCCCAGGGACCACCTGGGTGTACCCCAGGAAAGCAAATGGAGTCGCTGTTTTGTCTGTGACCCGTCTATGGATAAGCAGTAGAAGATGAAAATGGAAAGAAACTCTTAAATATAGATTTAAAATAATCTGTTAATTCTCAAAATATGTTATGAGAATCAGTCTAAGCTACACCCTCACAAAATCTTTAGACATTATCTATAAAACTGAMTGAGATGTAGACAGTTTTGTGTTTTTCAAGGTCGGTTGGCTGTGGAGGCCGTCTTGAATTAGGTCGACTCCAAAAGTTAATCAGCTACGAGTTTTTCATGCCTGCAGATGTTTGACTTTGACTTTCATCATTTGTGTCGATCTGCTCCCCTGAAAGCTCATTTGTGTCGATCTGCTCCCCTGAAAGCTCTGTGTACGTTCTGGGAAGTGCATAATTTGACTAAATATGATGTATGAAGTTTGTTTGAGCAGTTCAGCATGAGTTCAGAAGTGTTGCTGTGGGGAAAAACGTCATGTTTTCTGCCAAACTGGAAAAATGACAAACTGTCCTTTTCACAGACATCAATGAGTGCCTGTTGCCTGGGATATGTAAGAACGCTGAATGCCTCAACACCAGAGGAAGCTACAGGTGCACATGTAAACCAGGCTACATGTTAGATGCTGCCAGGAGCCACTGTGTTTGTAAGTATTGYTTTGTTTTATGAATGTTTAGAGTCAGTTCTGTTCCCATTTGACTATAATCGACGTTTTAACCTCCTACCCCCAGCGGATAAGGCGGTGTCTGACCACAGGGCATCATGCTACCGGTCAGTTTCATCAGGAACGTGCTCTCTGCCACTTGCTAATCACATCACCAAGCAGATTTGCTGCTGCAGCCGTGTGGGTAAAGCCTGGGGAGATGGGTGTGATCGCTGTCCTCTGCCAGGCTCAGGTACGACAAACTGCTTTATGCTGCTGCATGAGCAAAGTCAAGGTTTGGTTTTATTGGACCAGCTGAGCAACTCTTTTCTAAGTTAGTCTTTCACAGATATAAAATGTAATCTTACGTAAGAGCTAGCAATGGTAGGTAGAGCACAGGCCTAGAGTATTTACCGCTCAGTCATCATTCTCCTCTCTGCCAGGCATGTAAAGCATTTCAAAAATAACTAAATGTGTTTGGGGTGGAAAAGGACCAAAAACATAACAGTTTTCATATTTTGGAGGCCACATCATGGTGGGAGTCAGCCTTGTGTTATCACTCCAACCCTCAGAGAGAAACCCCACTAATATGCCGGCAAAGCTACACAACAGAACCTCAAAGCTGTGCCAAAAGAAACATGGGAAGTAGTGGTCCTCTTTTTCCCCATCCAGATCTAAACTTCAAAGTCTGCGAGAGAAACAAGCAGTTTTTATGAAGTGTATACGCTTGCCAGTGATTCATAGGGATTGTGACAGATCAGATATTACATGCGGACCTCCATGATGCTGCTGGACATAAACACAACCTCTGATTATTTTAGATGGTCTGTTGCATGGCTGAGCAAGCTGTCACAGCTGTGTTCTGAGCAAAGCAACAAGGCCGATGACTCGTCACTTGGTAACAGTCGCTCCTCCATATTTACTCCAGATCCGATGTGGATCCTCATCATACATACCCCCGTTTCCCCTCACTTTAGTTTCATCATTCAGTAGCCGATCATAGCCACATTTCCTGCATTTACACGGGCCACATGTCTGTCATTACTCATATCTTATATTCCAGACTCTCCTGGCAATGAGTCGTTGGTTTCAGGTCAGGCAGGGGACACAAAGCCTCTCGCTTGTAATGGATTCACCATCGCTGAGTTCTGCAGTGCTCAGACAAAGAAGTGCAGTCTCCCTCCTTTTATCTAGTTACACAATCCTCCTTTAGCCTCTCACTTTCACGCCTCAGCACCAAAAGAGTTCAAGGGTCAGTCTGAGTTACATGAGCCACTGCTTATCTCACTTGCATGGTTGTGTCCATTTGTTTTAGTGTGCAGATTTGTTTAATCACCTGAAACACCAACATAAACCAGAGTACGAGGAAAGCCAGGACATGCAGAACAAGGCCAAAACGTCAGCTACAAGCATGTGCAATTGTCATCTATCAATCGTCATATTAAATGTTACTGACTAAATGCCACAACTAATCATAATTAATTTTAAAGTCAATAATGCCCAACAGTAATGATGAAAAGATGGAAGCATGTACAGTATGTATGTATGAATAAAATAGACAAGCAGTGACTGTTAACTAGTGGTCTGCAAGTCATATCTGGTCCACATGTTCATTCCATTTGGCCCATGAACCATTACGTCATTAATATATTACACAATATCTAATACAGAAMTCAGATAAAGTCTAGTTCAGAGAAGGTTGACGTTGGCAGTGTCTCTGCAAACCGAAGCTTGAACTCTGCATATGATCAGGCCCAAATTAAATGCTGCAGTGCAGCAGTAAGACAACAGACAGTGTGCAGAAATCCAATGCAGAACTGTTAAAATATGAAGGCAGTTACTCTCAAGTGAATTAAAAAAAAAACTTGAACTTTAACCATCCTCTGCTTGGGTGGTTTRCTTTAGAATTCCATGAGTTTCAGCCTTTACAACAGAGGTGATGATTTCTGCCACTTATTGTTTGTAATCATACTTCTTGTCCCACAGACCACTTCAAGGAGATCTGCCCAGTTGGTCATGGCTACACTTACTCACGCTCAGATGTGCAGATTTCCCTCAGACAGCTGGAAGATGATGAGCTGCAGAGCACAGGGCTGGCGCTGGACGAGCAGTATTCAGAGTTCCCGTCCTCTCAGCCCACACGGCACCACGGCCACCATCAAACACCCGAAATACCTCAATATCCCGAGTACCCTGAGACACCTCAGGCACCCCAGTACCCCACCACCCCACAGCATCCTTCTCATTCAGGAAGAGAAAGCCTTGGATATCCAGAAGGTAACATTAAAATCTTAAGTCTAATGAAATGCTAGCCATGTTGGATAATAAAAAAAAWAAATGATAACTTATTGTAATATGTAGAACTTGTAACATGGTATCACTAAAGCAAGAAAAATGTTAAGCAGAACTAATATCTTTTAGAGATTTTAAAGTAACAAAATATTTGAGTCACCTTGAATGAATTCTTCTAAGTTGTTTTTATGCCTTCTGCACAAGRCCACACATTAATATTCTTTACATTTTCTGTGAATGTATCTTGTTGATTTAATACTGATGAGATATTTTTTTACTGGCGGGGTTGGGACATTTAGATTTATTAGAGTGAACAGTTTAAACATATAGGGKTTTTTATCTTCATTATCTGAGATCTAGATGTTCTTATCTTTATGTTTTCATTTCTTCTTGGCCAGTAGTTTTCACTGCACCTCAAATGCAGGATTATTATTTTTTTGGCTCAATGGAAATTTCTTCTCTGTCTTTTATTAGTTTAAAGAAAGATTCTAAAACTGCAAATAAACCGCCTAAACAGAAAAATGGGTATTTGTGAATGGTGCTTGTTAATGTGAGTAACGTGTCAGTTTTAACTACTGATCTTTTTTTTTATTTCTGTTTTCTTTTTTTTTTTTGATGAAGATGTGGAAATTCTAATCCCGGTGAGTTTTTTTCCCTTTCTTTCAACATCTTGGCAAATACATTGAAATGTTGTTTTAAGGACAATATGCCGAAGCTACGTCAGCTAATGGACTTTTTATGATTATGTAACAAATTCAAACCACATTTTGGTAGACACACATACCAAATTAGCATTTAATTTATCAACAAAAGCGAATTTGAATGGGATCATTGTGATGAAAAATGCCATCCAAATTGTTAATGACTTCCAATGCTTGCTTGTTTTACAGCCAGCTGTTGTGACTGACTCACCGCCCAAATATCCAGGTATTTTTCTTCTTCTTGGCTTTACTTATACTATTACTACTGCATGACTTATTGAACAAGTGCCCCCCAAAACTGTTGTTTAATGCCTCTTGTGGTTTGATGTAGCCTTTGAGTCTTGCCCAGACATGCTATGTGTTTTCCATGAATTTCCCCTGCACCGCGGTGGCAGTCTCGGTCCTTGTCCTCACTCCAGTGAAAACATTGACATTAAAGTCTCGAGTTTGACTACATACAATGAGTCACCCTGATTTATTTGCTTATTGTAATGTTTTAGCCTGGAAAAAAAAACGAGTGGGTCATTTTTTTTTATCCTATTCAGAAACGAGCAGCAGCTGCAGCAGTTTTTGCTGGGAAAACAAGCAGTGTCTTGTTTGAGGTGCACCGAACCAATGCTATAAAAGACAGTGTTAGTGAGTCAATAACACTTATAGTAAGGATACAAATCATATTCTGATGTAAACCTTCCTTAATTAATGACTCATTTATAATATAAAATAAAAGTCCTGCTTCTTGCCATGACGCAATATTCATTCTGCCTCAGGTTCATATAGTTACGTATTTCATCCTTAATGACTGCTTACTCATATTAAAACAAACAATAATAAATATGACTCGAAATGAGCTCATGTCTAGAAAATCCATAACAAGAATTCACATTTGATAAGCTGTGAGTACAATTCAGTAATCAGTGTGTTCATACCAAAATGTAAATATTTGTCCGTAATTGTAAGTTTCTTTTTAATTCTTGTCAAAACTTAGTTTATAACAATTAGCATTTTTTGTATACATTTTTTGAGAATCTCATGAAAGACATTTAGCTGAAATTATTTCTCATAAAAACATTTTAAACTTCAATTTGATTTTAAGCTTCTTCTTAGGAAGACAGCAGTCAGTATGTGTTTGCAGGAACACATTGCACTTTATCAAACTGGGCACAGGAGTCCCTCAAGGATGTGTGTTTAGTCCTTCAACAGTCTGTCTCTCTTAATCACTTACCCCACACTTGACTAAGAATGCCCTGCAGATGATGCACTTCCTCAGAAGAATAATAAAGCTAGGGAGAATCCCCATCCCCACTTTTCCCTCCTTTTATCCCAACATTATGAAGAAAATTGTGACTAGTTGCGTCACTTCCTTGTAAGGAAACTGAAGTGTGATGGACAGGACTCTGCAACATGTGAGAATGGCTGAAAGAGTCATCAGAGTCTCAGTTTCCTTTTACATCTGTTTTAAAGAGAAGAAAATAAGCCCTTAGTACTGTGAGAAATCCCTCTTACTTTACCCGAAGCTCTTTAACTTCCTGCCATCTGGAAGATAATACAGTTTCATCCTATCCAAAATAATCAGAATGGACAGTGGATTTATTCTTCTGGTAATAAGGTTGCTGCATGCCCAGCAACTCACCACCAAACAAGACAAAAAGAATAATCTTATGCAGTTAACATATAAAATGACAAAATATTAGTTAATTTGTAACAAATGGATTATGGATTAGGTAACAGTACTTCATGCTTTATGTTGAAAGTTGTTTATTAGTTCTTGGTGAGCATTAATACATGCATTAATTCACTGAATTATGCAGTAACTAATGGATGCTTAAATGTATGATGAGTGCCTTTATGATCAAGTGTTATGTACCTGGATTTATATGTACTATTTCTTTATGACCATCCTTATTTGTCTTTTTAGAAGCCTCTCCAGACTCTACGAACATCAACCTAAGGCCAGATTCAAAGGAAACAACCTTGATAGTCACTGGTAAGGCATTAAGTAAAAAAAATAATAAAATAAAATCTACAAAGGAAATKAGCTTGGTCTAGCTCCACAGGATACCTCTTTAAACTAAATAGGCAAAATGGTGGAGGACTGCGGGACTATGGCACACAAAAAGAGCCAAGCATTCAATTCCTCATTTTTCATGCTTTCTGTCAACAGCTGGCAGACAGCGGCACATCTTAGAAGGCATTTTTGTAAGCTTACCCAAAGTAAAGCCTGAAATCGCTTTCTTCAACCCTGTATTTCAGCCAAATTGGCTTTGAGTTGATGTGTAGCACAGAGGGTGAGAGGGCGCAAAACCAAGAAAGTGTGTGCCTCTTGGAAGGGTACGCCATCCTGAGTGTAACAAGACCAGTTTATTTTTATTTTTTTAATGAAAGGAAGAGACAGAGACAGGATAAATGTGTGTTTGGATGACAAACACTGTGAGCGACAGAGCAATTGACGGACTAAGATAAATCTAAGTTATGTTAGAGTGTTTTAGCAGCCGACCACTGGAAGCCAACATCTTTGTTTTATCTCTGTCCTTTTGGGTAGAATATTGGATAGAATGAGCCAAGAACAGAACTCATGTTAGGCTCTGTGGCGCATGACCTGTTTCTTGACTTTTAACTCTTTGTAAGAGTGCCATGCCACCTGTCAGAACACTACGCTGTTGTAATATCACTCCCCTCATCCAAGACTCCATCTATAAAACAGCAAAAATAGTTACCYATGGAGAGCAGCATGTGTTACTGGAATGCTGTGTTTTTTTTATTTTTATTTTTTATTTTTACAGCCTCTTCAATGTTGGGTCAGAAATGTTATTGTCTGTTTTTTGAGTGATGACTGTGCATGCCTTTTTTTCCCCACAGGTTTTAACAAGTGTGCTACTTCATCGACAATATGCGGTAGAGGAAGATGTGTTCCTACACAGGATGGTTACACTTGCAACTGTGAGCCAGGATTCAGGATCAACGCACTGCAGACCAGCTGTATTGGTAAGAAAAACGAGTAAGAGATAAACTGATCTGGTCAAAACACTTTATTTTTCTATGGGCAATTATAAGTTCTGCCTCTTGGAGAGCATTTRGCTGGAAAAAGTTTATGTTGATTTATTTATTTTTTTATTTCCTTGTTCAGAAAATATTTTTACAGTCTCTTCTAACTGCTAAAGAAAATGTGGCTCTCAAGTAGCCARTCATTTTTATTTCTTTTGGGCCTGTTCAAAAACACAGACTATTTAAGCAGAATTGGCTACTCTAACATAAATGTTATTCTTAACTGGGAGGAACTTTTTTTAACAGCCTTTTCCATTTAGTATTTTTGAAAAATAATAGGAAAAAGTATTTTTGGAATACTGACTATAGAGTATAAAAAAGTTATCCTGCTTTACCTCTTCCTCTGTAGATGTGAATGAGTGTGAGCTGGACCCATGTGAGGGGAAGGGCCGYTGTCTGAACAGCTATGGCTCCTACACCTGTCAGTGCTACAGCGGCTACAGCCAGGTGATCACTCAGAACAGGAAGTTCTGTCAAGGTAAGACACAGTCCAGTTTGCAGTAGGAGATGTAATGTTTCCAGTCTTTGTTAGAGGACTGCAAGTTCTTGTCCGTCAGCACTGCCCACTTGAAAAAGCATCCTGTCGTGATTAACTCTGTGGAACAAAACAGACTCTCTTTTACCTTTTGTCTTGGTTTTTGTTCAACTGGCAGACATTAATGAGTGCAGCATGCCCAGCAAGTGCCAAAATGGCAAATGCGTCAACACCGAAGGATCTTACACCTGCGAATGCAACACTGGCTACTCCAAGTCCGGGAGAGGCCTCTGCGAAGGTGAATCGCGTGCATCAGCATAAACGTTTGCACTCGGAGTCAAGTTCACCCAAACACACAATTATATATTTATCCATTTGTTAGCTGCCCTTATTTTGTGTGCAGCCCAGTAACAAAACACATATTGTGTTTTCCTCTGGGCAAAGTCAGGGAGAATTTTTTGCTCGCTCCATGACAAGAGGGATTGTGTGTACTAGTGTGTGTGTGTGTGTGTGTGTGTGTGTGTTTGTGTGTGTGTGTGTGTGTGTGTGTGTGTGTGTGTGTGTGTGTGTTTACCAGCATTTCTATCCAAACGGTCTCTTTCTTCAATAGAGGTGCACAATGTTTGAGTAAGCTTGTTGTTGCAACAACTAATTCAATTCTTCAATGTCTTTATTTTCCACTTTCCCCTCAAGCAGATATAGATGAGTGCAGAGATCCTAGCTCCTGCCCCAATAGCGTCTGCATCAACACTGTTGGCTCCTTCCAGTGCCAGGCCTGTGGCCCGGGATTTAGGCCCGTCAATAAAAGATGTGTAGGTGAGCCAAACTCACACCCCATGAAAAGCAGCAGGACCACTAACACTTCGCCCCCTTCCTCCAAAATGTCCTGAAGGTGTTTCCAGCTGCTTTATGGAAACAAGCTGGGTTTCCCTCTGACACAATAATAGCTTCCTGCGTTGGGTAACGTTTGCACTGATGTAACTGCAGCTCTTTGTTGGCATCACTGGAAAGTCCAAAAATGAGGCAGCATGGCAGCAGCCCATGCTGTTTAAGACCTGTCAACAGCTTATGATGCAGCGCAGCTGACCAAGTAGCACGAGCTGAATTAAGTTTGCTGCCTTTCGGCTCTTTGCTCAGAGGGACACTCTGACTACTGATGTGCATGAAAATTAGGAATTAAATAAAGTTTTTGTTTCAGAGGACTTTCTATTGGACATTTTATGTGCAACGGGGAACATTTTTGGGGCCACTTTACAGACCAAAACCACAACCATGATATTTCTATTATTTTAGTGATTCCACCTACAATGCTTTAACTCCTCCACTAAGCGCTCTCTGCACATTCCCAATGTTTTTAACACATTTATGAAGTTTTTTCAATATCACTGGTTTTGTAATACGATCGTTTATAATACTTGAATTTGGGAGAGTATAAACATTTCTTCTTGGCCCCGGCCTCGAACAAACACTGTGTTATTGTTGGAGAGCTCTACCATCGATCTCGTCAAAGGCAAGCAAGGCTTTATTACCACTGCCGCGCAGTCGCAGGAGACGCATGAGAGGGCCAAAGGGTCAGCTCCCTGCAGCAAAGAGGTCGTGGTGTGTAAACAAACATTCCCTTTCACCCCTGATGTTGTCCGTGGTCCAATTTAACACTCCTGCGAAGGGATTAGATTTGACTACACAAATAATCGGCCAGACGTCGCTGTGTGTGTTTAAGCTCGCACACGCCGAGCTCCCAACCTGAACGTGGTCCCGTTACATAACAGCTCGACCGGTGTTGCTTACCACATCTCCGCTGTGTGACCTTGTATGCCTTTAATTTGTTTGGAAATCCAAACTTTGTTTGTATTCCAGAAATGTGAAAAGCTTATAGACAAATGATGGAAATTACGCAGAGTAATTTCAGCAATAGTTTTGGTGCATTGTWATAAATTTTTCAGCTATTTTGATGACTGAAACTTTTGTTTAAAGCTTGATGAGCCCCTTGCCTCCAAAGAAAACACCACTCGGTCCACTAATACTATTAATTTTGAGTAAATCTGTTTTGTATAAACAGAGGAATTACGTAGATGGGGGATAATGGTGGAGGTAAACGTTTTCACTCTTGACACAGGCAGCATAACCGAGACTGCAATGCCCATTTTGACATAGTCACACAAAACAGGCAGCACTGGTGCTGAGWTTCCACTGTTTGCTTCAGTCGGTTGACAGCAGCACAGTTTAGGTCCAATTGGCCGAGTCGGGGATAAGCCTAATTGTTGGCGTGATAGGAAAAAAAAGTCTGTCTTTCCTTGTTGGAGCTTATCTGCGAGGCCTGACCGATGTCGGATGATTGCAGAAGCAAAGTACTGGGCCACACTGACAGATGTCTGGCAGTGCCCGTGGCCAGTAAAACAATAGCTGCTCTGTGACTCTATGTTGTTTTCAGCGTGTGTTCATGCTGTGGGTCAGGATCCAGTATCACCTCTTGGTAACATCCTTCCTTCAACATTTTATTTTATTTATTTTATTTATTTTTTTGCAGAAACATACTTCCTCTCTTCCTTTACCCTTCCTGTTTGAGCATCTCCCTCTCTTTCTGTCACCACAATGTCAGATAATCCAAAAGAGAGAGAGAGAGAGGAAAAAAACTGCTGTTAACACTTGATAAATCTCATCTTAAACAGCATTTCAAAGATACAGATGTGTTGCGCAACTTGATTTTCTGGGTTGTTTGGGATTCCTAAGTGGAAAAAAACAAGTAGTAAAAACTTTTGATGATTGAGGTTTGGGGGATAATTTAATGAGGGCTGTTTGCAGATTTTATGTGCACTTCTTGCCTTTTACGTTTCCCTTTTAAATTTTAAACCATGCACATACTTAATTTAAAAAGAAACTCTTTTCTCAAAGGTTTTGAAAATTTTTCTACTAGAAAAGTAGGATTTTGCAAGTAGAATCCCAAATAATCCAATTTATATTTTGTGGCAAATGTCTTTAGTCCTTTAGTGCAAACACAAACACATTATTTGAATGTGCTGTTGGGCACAAAGGTGATTCAAAACGAATCAAAAATGTTTGTAATTTTCAATAACTGACACCTGAATTAAAACATCAACTCTCCCTCGCTCATATAAATTTTCTCTGCCTTCAGATGTAAATGAGTGCTTGAATCAGACCGTGTGCAGCCGTGGTCTCTGTATAAACACAGAAGGCTCCTATAGGTGCAACTGTTTCCACGGCTACAAACTCTCATCCGACAACGTTTGCCAAGGTAACTGTCTGTCAGAAGGTCAGTGGCACGTTATAAACGCTGCAGATCAGAGCTCTGGGAGTAGTTTTCTGCAGCCATACTACAGAAGCTTTGAGGTTTGACTCAAGGCTTGTAAAAACGGCTACAAAGCATTTTGTGGTTGTTTTTAATTTCTGAGTCCTTTTCCTCTGTATCSTTTCTCCAGATGTGGATGAATGTTCGCTTCCGGGAGTCTGTTTCCACGGCCTCTGCGTCAATCTGGACGGCACCCACAAATGCATCTGTGACCATGGTTACCAAGTCACCTCAGACAGCAAATCTTGTGAAGGTTTGCAAAAGAATTACTCAGAGCTGTTGAACATAACTCATCAGCGCGCGCGTGGTTCTCTGCTCGTGGGAGCCTCTCAGCAGCAGAATAATGTCTGCAAATCCTTGCTTTCTGCTAGACGTCGACGAGTGTGCGACCGGCGCTGCCTGTCCTGCGAGCATTTGCATCAACACAGCAGGTTCTTACACCTGCCAGAGCTGCGGGCCTGGGTTCGGACCGTCTGCTGACGGACTGAGATGTGAAGGTAAGGAAAGATTTAATGGAAACACTCGTGGATACTGATGACTCGTTTGCCTACTTGTGGGAGTTTGTTCCTTTTCGTCTAGATGTTGACGAGTGTGCTCAGGGTGACTTGTGTTTTGGAGGGGTGTGTTCCAACACAGTGGGGTCCTTCACCTGCACCCAGTGTAAAGCTGGCTACAGATTATCCGAAGACCGGCAGAGATGTGAAGGTAATTTCAACCTCTAGCTTTTCATTCAGTAAAACCATTAGAGTTGTTAAAAACTTACTCAACACGTGTGTCTGCTCTGTGAGTTCACTGTAAAACTTCTCTTTGCTATTAATCTGGAGTTTTTCTAAATATTATTCCGTTTTACTACAATCATACACGTGTGTTTTTCCTCAGATATCGACGAGTGCCTGTCTTTATCTACCTGTGCCAACGGGATCTGTCTAAACTCAGAAGGGTCTTACACCTGTGAGAACTGCCCCACGGGCTACATAGTGTCATTAGATGGAAATCTTTGTCAGGGTGGGTTTATTTAACTCCTCTTGTAAAAACTTAACACTCCATGTATCACAGAACCACTTCTAATTGCAAAAAATACATGTCCAAGTTATTTTTCTTAGCCATAAAGACATCCCAGACTTGCAGTGAATGACTACATGTGTGCATTGTTTCCCCAAAAGATATTGATGAGTGTGCGCTTCCCGCTACATGCCCCCGGGGAACATGTACAAACACAGAGGGTTCGTTCACGTGTCATCTGTCAGCCTGGTTTCAGGATTTCTGAGGATGGRCAGCAGTGTGATCATGTTAGGGCTTTTACATGAACTCTCATTTTACATTACCTGATTTTCAACTAAACTCAAATACAGTATGTCAACTTTTAAAAAAGCTATCAGTGCTAATATTGCATTGTGTTGAGAAACAACACATGTAACAGCTCAAACAGAAAAGGCTTTCATCTCAGCGCATCACATCATAGCTGAATTCTGGATTATTCCGCCTTTGGCACTGCCTCTTATTAGAGACCAAACTTCAAATAGAATAAAATGATGTCAGGCTAATAAAACAAAAGAGGTGTCGTCATGTTTCACTCCTAACCATCAAGTAATTGATTACAACTGGCAGTCTTTATTTATCTGAAACCACAGATTATCGTTTGTACTATCATGTGCTGGTTTATTTGTGCCCAGATGTGGATGAGTGCTCGGTGGCTAATTTGTGCCAGGGCCAGCTGTGCTTGAACATCCCAGGATCTTACAYCTGCAGGAGCTGTGGAGTCGGTTTCCAGCTGTCGGAGAACGGTCACACCTGTGAAGGTAAGACTTGCTGCGGCTCCTTATTGTGAACTCGGTATCAAACTCGTTGATGGCCAGGGTAGAAGAGGAAAATATTTGTCTTGAAATATGAGTAGAGAAGACATTTTTAGATCTCAGTAAATTGTCTTGACATAAATTGTGAGATCAGTGCAATAAAATGGCWGCTCTCGCCAATCCAGCGAGGTCAGATGTGTCATGACTTCATGGGAAGCAATAGAGGAATGATTATTTAAACTTGTAGACTTTTCAACATGGTCTCGGTTAGTTTTATATACTGCGGTGTGTTTTTCAATGGGAGTGTGGATCTAGCCATGAGAGGAAGATCCCCCACTGATATGTGTCTTTGCTCTGGGAAATGATTTTATCAAACCAAGTCCAACTCCGTCTTTTATAGGGTTTTAATGGGCGTATCTGATGCCATGGAAAATATGAGGGGTTTAATTTAAAATGAAGTCAACCACCTCCCCGTGTCCTGTGCACTAGCCTTGTCGTGTTTAACTTTCTCTGTCCACCTGAAGCCAAAACGGAGCCATCCCCTTCACTTAACAGCCCCTTGCTATTTTCTCCTCAAGAAACACAATCTATACCAACTTTAGGAATTTGCGACGATCACATACCAGCAATCTGGTGACCATTTGTGGATGTAATAATTATACGCCACCTGTAATCGCTTGCTATTTCAGATTTAATGACCATCCACATACTTATCTTTCCACTCTTTTTAATAAAACACTGTCAGTGCTATGTAATAAAAGCAGCTCTGCTTGCCGTATTTTAGGCTGAATCACACCCATTCCTTTATATGTTTTAACAGATAAAACAGAAAGTAGGCTCTTTGAGGTTCTTTCAGATGATAATCTCTATCTCACTCTGTCTAATCTTTTTCATTCTTATATCTTGCAGATCTAGACGAGTGCCAGGCTGCAGGTGTTTGCCCCACAGGTGTTTGCATCAACACAGAAGGCTCCTTTTCCTGCATGGCCTGTGCCCCGGGTTTTACCGTGGCACCCAATGGCCTCTCATGTGAAGGTAGAGTCCTGATTGTTTTTTCAGTCATCTCCTCCAGCACTGTATGACCCTGTATAGGCGATGATGCATGACTTTCTGACAGTGTGGTCTGGAAGCGCTTTGTCTTGATTTGGAGCAAAAAAACCAAATGATTTACGGCTGAATGTGTCATGGCGCTGACATTTCTGTGTGTGGAAATGCAGATGTGAATGAGTGTGAGGACACCAGCCTGTGTCAAGGAGGCCAGTGTGCCAACACCATCGGCTCCTATAGCTGCCTGTGCCCATCTGGACTTGAGCTCGTGGCTGGGACTACATGCATGGGTATTTATACACACACATGTGAAATACGCCATTAGTGGTTGGCTATTTTTTTCGTGGCTTACCGCATGTTGGCATATTGACACAGCTGTTTGAGTCTATTTGTGCTTGTTTGTGACAGATATCGATGAGTGTTTAAACATCTTGGGGATTTGTGGAGAAGGTAACTGTCTCAACACTGAGGGCTCCTACTCCTGCGCATGTCCTGATGGATTTACCACCACTGACGGAAGGCCTGGCTGCCAAGGTATAATAACACATTGTGGCCAGACACCAATGGGAAATCATGATTCATTTGATTTTATTAGCTTTATACAACTGAGTGAGGCAAATTCACCATCAGAGCTAGATCATGATATTTTAACACATTCTCCCTCCCGACTCATCGCATACTGACGCTTTTCCAAGGTTCCCTCTGCGTCTTATTTTGACGCATCGGGTACACAGTTATTGACGCACCAGGCATTTCCGTGTTCCCTCGGCGTCTGGGTTTGACGTGTTGGGACGCAAAATATAGGGGGTCTTTGAGTTAGGGTCTGTGGTTAATATTAGAGATCAGGGTTCATGGTTAATTTTAGGTAGTGGAGTCAGGGATAGGATGTCTATGGTGAATATTAGGTAATTTTACGCTTTGGGACACATAGTTGATGTGAATTTCCTACACTTTCTAAAATGGTTAATTTTAGGGATCAGGGTTGATGGTTAATTTTAGGTACTAGGGTAAGGGACAGGATGTCTAGAGTGAATAAAGGTAATTTTAGGCTTTGGGACGGTTCGTTTTTGTGCGTTTTCTACACTTTCTGAAATTATGACAACGGATTCCGCCCCATCTCATCAATAACTGATGCGAGGGGGGTACCCAACGCGTCAAAATCGGACGCAGAGGGGACCTTGAAAATGCGTCAATATGTGACGACTTGGGAGTGAGAATGGGTTGGATATTTTTAAAGGGGTGGGGTATGCAAAATTGACCTTTTTGAGCTTTTATGTTTTATAATGTCATTTCCTCATCAAACACACACCCAGAGTGTTGCTTTGACTCATTCATGCATGTTTGAGAAATCCTTGAATCTCCTGTGGTAGCCATGTGGAGCTGCCTGAACACTTGCTGGTACAAAGCACYGCCTATTTGTACCTAACTCCCGCCCCACAGAGCACCCCTCTCCCGAAGCGTTGTTGTAAAGACGTGCTGAAGTAGGAGTGTCTGAAACAGTAGCAGGTTCTTAAAGCGACTGAGGCCAATTTCAAGGTGTTTAGATGATGCAAAGTCAAATTTATTTTTGACATAAACAGCATCTTCTAAACAACTGAACGTAACATAGTTACTTGATTTTGGTATAGAATTGAACTACTGTATGTGCTTGGAAAATACATATCCCCACCCCCCTCAATGATTTTTTGCACACAAGGTATTTTGTTACCATACTGATGGTTTGCACATGTTTTTTATTTTGTGCAAACAAGCTGTTCTCACCATGCTGTCCTGGATGCTGAGGCCATTCTGTGTAATGGCTGTGGCCTCATCAATTGTCTCAGCTCGTTGCGTCTCAGCTTGGACATCAGTTTGATGTTATTCCAGCCGCACCCAGTGACCCACTGGTCATCGGATAGGGAGGGAAATGTAACCTAATTGTCAACTAAGGAAGGCTTTTCTGCAGACTGGAGCATTTGCATGAAATTATTTTGAACAGGATGTTGGATCGGTGTTGTTTTTGGTGGGTCTTGAGAGAAAAAGGTGGAGTAAAGTAAATACTAGATTGTCTGGCGGCGTAATGTCCCATCGTGAGACGAAGCAGGTAGATTCAATCTTCAATTTCCCTCAAAGATACCATAGAGGTCCAACATGTAATTGGCAAGATTTACAGCATAGAACTATAGTTAATACTTAAACGTGGACATTCTTCTACCTAAATTTTGGCCGCGCAGCAGTGTCAATATCATCCAGTCACTTTGAGCAAATTGCCCAGGCTGTGTCAGGTACTTTGGCTGCTCGCCACAACAAATACTAGGCCCTAATTATCCTATAAATCAGCAGTTGTCGTATATTTTCTTGCAGTCTGCCATGGCGTGTTCAGTGCTGACACAATGAAAACCAGACCCTTCTGACATGAGGCTAGAGGGGGAGAAGAAGGGAGGATAAGGGTTTGTGAGGTCATGGAAATGACAGATGATGATGATGCTTGGCTTCAAAATCGAAAAAAAAAGTACAGTATAATAAAAAACTGACAACAGACTGAAACCCATCTAGATCAAAAGGTAGTGCCACAGACTTGTATCATCCAAACGTTTTTCATTGAATTAACTAAAAATTTTCAATTAAAGGGGACAGTTCATGTAAAATCCACTTTTTTAGCCGTTAAATGCATTTTGTTGTGTACTTGGAGTCTTCAGGAGAGCAGAAAAAATGTATTTAGTCTCTTCTGGTGCTGCAAAAATATCTTTATATTCTGTTTGGGTCATATTTTTCAACCTGTTCCAATTTCTCCATCTTCTATGATGTTTTCTGGACTGTTATGTCAAATTATTTTCAACAGAACTACCAAATAAGGTCTGGACTTAACAACTACAGTTTGGTCATCTGGCTCTGGGTCAGACTCTGGGTCCAACATGTAAGGCTGAGTGGACAAGTCCTTCATTGTTGATATTTAATCAATTTGTAAATAAAATGTTTCTGGAAGCTGGAGGGGTGTGGGGTGTGATGCACCTTATTTAGATTCAAAGAAATAGCATCAAAATGAGCTGCATTGACACATACCTCAGAAAAGGGGTGAAAGAGGGTCTGGTAAAGTTAAAATAAGGAGGATTTCAGACCAAAACATTGCAGTTCCCCCAACTGAATGATTTTAATGGGAAAAATAAGGATTTAAAAGCATGATATGTCTCCTTTAATTCATTTACTTGAATTATTTTTTCTATTTCTGTAATTTTCAAGTGGAAATCAAAGACTGAAAAGCAAAGACTGGCATTTTCTGCAGAAACAGATTTTTCTTTCTCTTCATTCCATCTTTCATTTTTTACCAAGTCCAAGAACATTGCACGTTATGTCGTAATGCTGCAATTACCCACCCGTCTACACTTAATCAAGCGTACAGAACTCATTTTTAACTTTTGGTCTAAAAGAAATATTCTCAGGCTGAGATTCTGAGTCAGATACATTTTCCCTTTATTTCTCATTGGCCAACTTAGAGTTACTTGCTTTGAATGWCCAGGGCGTTTTGGTTAGAGAACTTCATTCCAGATTTTTTATGGTGAGGACACAGGGTAATTCCTGTCTCTCTTATGGCTTTTGTATTTCCCCTAATTTATCTTTTTTTTCCCATGTTCTGCTTTTAGATGTGGACGAATGCAGCAGAGATGATGTGTGCATTAAAGGAGATTGTCTCAACACTGCTGGCTCTTTCTTATGTTTGTGCGAGGTCGGCTTTAAATTCAACCCTGGTGCAGCTGACTGCGAAGGTAAGTTGGACTAAAACATCCCCGTGGTGTCTTGTTGTTGTGTCACGGTGGGTGCTGACCCCCTGACTCTGCCCTGAACTTTTCTGTCTTTGTGTAAACCAGCTTGTTAGCATTAGCTGTTTGATCGTCATGCTACATTAAGGCACAGTTAGGCACAGTTGGCTGTGATTGATTATCTATAGTGCATGAGGACTTGGTTTCAGTCAAGGCGTTTAGGCCTGGCTTAGAGGCTTTCCTCCGTGATCCCAAGGGTGAGGTGCTTGCGCGGTTGGGCTCCCACTCCCTTGAGGTAGGTATGAATGACCCAATTGTGAGCGGGAGGCGTTTCTCCCTCTGGTACCTTAACTCCTTCACAAGTTCTTTGGTTGCTGTGATAATATTGTTCTTGGCCATTTCTGTTGCCTGCCTCGTTTACGGTGGACAGCTACGCCACAGGCCTTCTGGCCAACTCCTGCTGCACAGCCAATTACACCAGAACTAAACGAGCAGAGGAGGAGGGACTGTCTGTGTCTAACTGCATTCTCTGTTTTTGTGAAATTCTCACATTTTTTTTCTTCTATCTGTGTCCCTCCATACAGACCAGGATGAGTGCAAAGACTTTGGAAACACGGTTTGCGGCGCCTGGCGCTGCAAGAACACCATCGGCTCCTACCAGTGCTTCATGCCATGTCAGCCTGGCAGTCTGGAGGGAGGATGCGGTGAGTGTTTTAACACTGCAGAGCCAAAAGCGTGGTTTTAATCTTGTAATGAGATACTTGCTTTGAAATCATACATGTTCCAAACATTTTATTGCAATATTTTGGCTGCGATTAAATCTCCGCCATTGTTCATACAGTCCAAATTATTTCCCYTCTCATAGGCCATAACACGCGTCAAACTCAAGGCCCGTGAGCCAAATGTGGCCCTCYATGATATTTTATGTGGCCCRTGAGAGCTTCAAAAAAGTGTTAATGTCTGCTATTTTAGAGTCAGCATTGACCATRTACTATATCTCTCATAAGCCAGCAAAATRCATTGTGTAAAATCTCAGTTTAGCTGCATTTTCACCAGCTACTTTTGATGYGACTCAGTTGTACTGGTAAGTGGTAATGTCCCACTTACGAGTCGTAAAATAAATTGAAACAGTGGGAATTTTCTTTTGGAAAGTGAGAGATTTTAGGATTCCAGAATATTGAGTAAAACTYTTACTTTTAATAGTATTTCTGTTATATAAATTTCACATTCAGTCAGTTGTACTCGTAGTACTTTTCAGTGTTTGTGAGAAGATGTGTTAAAACGTTGTTTCTATGCAGGAAATACCATGTAGAGCTCAGTTATTGTTTGTTAGCGGTGCTCAGCTGTAGTAAAGAGATGAGGAATGTAACAGTTTGTATTTTTAGTTAAAGTCAAACACAAAACATCAAAGTTGCTTACAACTGGCTCTTTCAGGGCCRCCATAATGCTCGTGTGGGCCTYRGTGAAAAAGAGTTTGACATCTCTGGGTTCTGATAGCATGTGATGTGTTCACAGAGATTGACGCGATTTAAACCTACTGAGTCATTTTCTTACAAACAGTTGCGAAAAAGATGAGGAGAAAATGAGATTAAAGCTTTTTTTAGTGTCATCCTTTTGGCAGCTGAAATAATGGAGCACCTCTGGTAGCACTGCTGCTGTTTCCTTATGAAAGAAAAAAAAGGGTTGTGGTCTCATAACAGTTCTTTTTTCTATTTGCACCCCATGTGGTCACCAGATATTCCTACCAGAGTTTGTAATTATCCAACATCTGTGGGCGCAACTTTTAAAGACATAATCATGACTTTTACAATGCATGAAGAATTACCTGTTTAGTGGGGAGGACTAAACTTTTTATGGTTGGGTTTGTGTAAGAGAAAGAGAGCTTGATACAATAACAGTTGTGGAGATGCAGTAGGAGTGCAGTGCTCTTACGATTGCAGGTTTTTATTAAACCAGTGACTGCTGCAGCACCGACGATGTCCCTCTGCCCCTCCATCACTACAATCCCCACTAAGTGTGGTTGCCTCATGGGAACATTTTATGATTTTGTCTGTCTGGCACCAGCTAAAGTGTGCCGGAGCCTGTAGTGTGATACAGACTGATGGACTCCAGCTGCTCACTTCTACTGTTTTTAAAGGCAGTCACTGCTAAGTTGTGCATTTTAGTGCAAACTGGTCTAGATATGCACTTGTTGTGGCTGTTTAAGGAGGTCCAAAAGATGCTCCAATAAACACTTACACCCCTAAAATGAGAACCAAGGCTGTTTACCTTTCGGGACTCAGCAGCACACTCCATTACGGCTTCTTTTACCTCACCATGGGAAGATGTGGGAGATGCTGCCTTCACCTCAATAAAAGTCCAAGAAAGGAGCTAAATTACTTTGGGGCATTTTTGTCTGCTTGTAAAAATCATCAGATATTTAAGAGGAGACCAGACGTTGTAATTTGCAGTTTCTGTGAGGGGCGTTGTTTTATTTTTACTCTCTTGCCTTCGAAGTGGCAGCGGTTTTGTCGTTGGCTCTGCTCACTGCTCTCATTTAGACTTAGAGGCCGTGACCAAAAACACAAAAAGGACGGGAAAATGTTGGGGGGGGGGGTTTTCCGTCGCAAATGTCACCTGCAATTTTGCAATAAAGTCGGAACACAAACCTTCCGTGATTCTGTAAATGAAGGGATACATATGAATCTAGGTGTTAAAGATTTTAGTTTTAATTTATCCTCATATTTATGAGCTACGTCTTGTTTTTAATAAGGCTTACCCGAAGGCGGAAACTGTCTGCGGTCACACCCCTGCCAACCTCCAACTCTTATAAACCTATAGAAATGTGAAGACTTAAACATGTGTGCAGTAACTCATGCTTCTGAGCAGATGGGAATTGTTTTTTTTTCTGTCTGTTTGAGCATAACATGACAGATAAACCTTTATTATTGTCAACCCGACTTTTACATTAGTTAATATGCTTGCCTGAAAAGTAAAAACCTTAAGCAATAAACTCATTTATGCCTAGTGGCATGTGAAAAAAATATCCACTGCATGTGTGTCCAATTAGACAACGGGTTGCCCAGAAAACATGGGAAAATGTGGGCGGAGCAGGGTGAGCCAGCAGTCAATGATTCATATATTTTCACCACCATGTGCGCTAAATGAACTCATGACATTGAGACGCAATCAAAACACAGTCCCAGCATAATCACAGCCTCACCGGAGACAGGAAGCGGGTCTTCCTGGGTCAGCCCATTAGGATACATGCTCATTTAAGTCTGGTTCACCTCTTAACAGCGGCTCCTCCGATCTCGGCTGAACTTCTCACCCTCTAATGCTCTTTAGTTCTTCCATCCAGGCAATTTGCAGCGCTGCGTGTGTTCTTATGTAACTCATTACATGGAAAGATGAGAATAAGTAGGCCTGTATCCTGCTGGTTTGAGACTTGCGCTCAGTGGAGTCATCTACTTTTCTTTCTTTTTTTTTCCACCCACACAAACTATCTGGTGCGATTAGCGCTTCGATCCTGTCCTTTGATGACTCATCTGAAAGGTTAGTCGAAGAGTGCTGTCGCTCAGATAATGCCACAATCAGATCCAAAGGCGTTTCAAATTGCTTTGTTCTCCGGGCTATCATTCCTCCTGGGGCTGAAAATTTGATTGCATCTCATCTCAGCATATGGTTTGCAGTTCCATTTTACACATGAATGAAACGCTCAGACAGTGATCATTTCGTTTATTAGCGGAGATCCTTTCAGACCTCCCAGCTGGYTGCCGGTGTCATTCCAACATTCACGACTCCACATAAGTTATTGAAGTTTGAGGAAATGTTTCAAACTCTTTGCTACTAATCGTTTTCACCTCATTTTGAAAAAGTTCTCAACTAAGCCTTGGGAATATTTAATATGTCTTTTTTTTCTTCTCAATTGAATGGAATTTCCTTACATCTAATCCTCAAGCTGACTGTCTCGAGCATGCAGGTCCAGTGGGCTGCTGGTTTTCAGTACAGCATGCATTCATCTCTTCTTCCTCRTCTCATCTTGCGACCAGCTGAGCCCACAAGTCTATTCATGCTATTTCGGTGCTTCAGCATTTCCTGTGAAAAGTTTCACAAACAGCAGACCGTTTTGTCTCCACGGTTTTATTAGCATGTGGGGGCCTACTGTCTCTGACCTCTGAGGTATGTTAGAGAAACAGCCAACTCAGGACTGGAACTCTTGGAAACAAAAAAAAAAACTAGTCCTCCCAGCAAGCCCTCAGACAGCGGTTGTCTGTGCTGGGAGAGAAGACAGGACTCAGAGTGCTGCTAAAATCAAATGAGTTGTGGATTCTCTTGGCCAACTTTCTATCTTTGCACATTTGATGCAGCCTTTAATACTCTGAGGCAAAATGAAACCAGTTTAAACAATGTCCTATTGATAAAATATAAKACATAACACAATAAACAGTTTATGATACAGTACAATAATATAAGGTTAATGTTATTTTGGAGAGATTTATTTTGGACTCAATTTTTTACCCTCATAAAAAATATAAATAGCCAGTTATAAAAACAGAAATCTTCATACTATAATTCAGTTTGTTCTAAATGTCTGAAAWGAAATGGACAATTTGCCTCCACTGATCTAAATTGTAGTAATTTAGCACTTTATATTTCAAATACTCATTCAACCCATGACCTGAGGTGAGTCATCTTTGAATTAAATGTTTATAGATGTTTCGTATAAAAGTGAACAAAAAATTGTTTTTTACAATAAAAAGCAGACAGACATTAGAACAGTTTAGTTTATTGAGCAGTGTTTCCATCCTAATGCTTTGCCGAAAAGCTGTCGCTTCAATTTATTTTTGTATAAATTGATGAATGAGTTACCATTAACTGTTTTTCTTTCCATTGGTACTCCAGACAGACTGAACTTAAATGAATCCAAAAAGATGGTTGTTTGAAGGTCGTTAGGATATGAAAATTCACCAAATCTTTTCTTGAACTGAAATCATTTCACTTGGCAACCTGGGAGAATGCGAACAGAAACCAGTGACAAGCAGAAGTGACCTGAACAAATGCACGTGTCAAAAGTGTGAACAATAAACTCTGATTTATTTATTTATTATTTTTTTACAATTACAATCAGCCTCTCCTTCCTGCTGTATCACTATTTGGCCTCTTTGCTTCAGCTGCAGATGCCAAGAAATACTAAATCATGTGTGTAAGAAAATTGTTAACAAATGTTGCCTTTTAAAACTGCAGCCGACAGGGGATCGGCAGTGTTGTTGGAAGGTCCAGTGTTAACAGCCCCGACACGTAGCGTGCAGTTCCTCTCATTTATTGAATTTGTTTTTAAGATTACGAGGGCTGGATCTGTGCCAGATTTAAATCCTTACCTGCATTTTTTTTTAAATACACCGAATCCTTTCAAGGTAACAGTTTTCTTGTCTGGGGAGGAAAACAAAAGCMTACGCATTAATAAAGTTGAAAAGAAAAATCAGCTTTTGTTAGATCTTAAAGTCTGTTTTCCTCACTGTGTGGGTGAACGCTTCATACTGCCTGCAGCTTGTTAACCAATGCTTCCTCAGAACTTACAGATCCGTGCTGCATCCTGACCGAACACGTTAATGCAAAGAGCCCGTCTCCATGAATTAACTGATGAACTGCAACGTTTGAAAGCCCTCAGGATGAATGGTCCCGTTCGTACACTGTGCCTGACGTGTTATGATGGCAGTGATGCGTTGTTTTCGTGCGGTCGGTGTGGTGGCGGTGTTTGTATTGGAGAAGCGGCGCCGTGCTTACAGAGGCGCGTTGAGATTCTGTTTTGCAGATCGAGGCTRTAAATATTAATCTTGTGCTCACCTCTTCTCTGTGCCCTCGGCCCCTGCAGACATTGATGAATGCGACAACGAGAACGTCTGTGGGAACCACGGCTTCTGCGAGAACACAGCCGACTCGTTCCGCTGCCTGTGTGACCGAGGCTACGCCAACCCAGTGGGGGACCTGACCACGTGTGTTGGTGTGTGAATACTGTGCAGTAAATATACTCATTGTGTCTATTTGTGACCCGTCACAGCAAACAGAGGATTCAGTCAAATTTGGTGCATTAAGTGCATTTTCAGATTCCTGCATTTTAAGCTACACTTTGATACCTGGATCATCCCGAAACCATGAGCAGTTCCAGATATATGGCTTGATTTGTCTTCCTAATCAGGATAACTCATTGATATTTGGTCTGAATCCTATTTTAGGTCCTTCTGATGAGGAATTTTTGATGTCATTAAAAAGTGGAAACTTTAAACACTATTTGGATAGTAAGATTTACCCACTGGATAGAAGAAAAAAAAGCTTTGTTAGCTTGCATGAAAAATATAAAATAATGAAGGCTTTACTGCTCAAAATCATGTTTTTTGTAGCTTATACTCAAAAAAGATTCAAACAAATTTAGATTTCAGATATTACATTTAAAACAACCCATAGATAAGTTATTTATTCATTATATGTTGACAAAAGGCAGTTGCTGCAAATGTTTTAACCATCTCCATTCCTCCACAAAATCCTCAGTTCATTGTGATGGGTCGCATTTTAGTATGAAAAACAAATAATATTCAGAAGACGGGCTGTGTGGCTCAAATTTCACACAAGGAGGCTCGTTTTGTACTGATCCTCAATGTAAAATAGTTTGTAACAAATGCACTCAAAACAATGATGTCCTATTAAAAATTGCAATAATCTTTTATCCAGTTATTCATCCACTCAGGATAAACGAGTTTATATTTGTGTATCAAATTTGTGCTTTTATTTTCTAGTGTCATAGGTTGCAGCAAGAACTGCAATTAAACATTTCCAATGACCGTGGATCATAGCTCCTTATAATTTTTTACATGTTTCAAACCGTCGATCTGTAGAAAATTTTGCTAATCCCACAAATGCATGTCCCTTACACATGTGGCACCCTTTAAAAGGGTGTGAGGTTGGTAGCTGATAGATTCAGGGAGCAGAAATATATTTATTTAACAAATTCAAAAACGGCGCTTCAAGCAGCATACAAAGCTATGAGGAACACAATGCACATGGGTAACAACCGGACTCACCATGGAAGACAGCACATTGAACCAACAACACACAGAGGACAGGAGACTGAATAYAAAGACCAACTAATAAGTGTAAACGAGAAACACCTGGAGGAGAYACATGAGGAGCAGGTGAGTGAGGGCGGGACTAAGGCAAAGACTGAATGGAGAAACAGGGATTCACAGAGAAAACATGAGAAGGATAAACACAGACTAACAGAAAATACACAAATAGACACAGAGCATGACAAAGGAAAATTCACACGCTTTCCAACAGTGTAAGATTTATTGCCTGCTTTGTGTTAAGTTTATATTGAAAGCAAAAAAAAAGACAAGTTATGACTGGCTGTTTGGAAGAAAAATAAATATAATGTGTGCATCCTACTAAAAGAAGTAGCGGATTTCAGATATATGCTTGCGCTCACGAAGACAGCTGACTAGTCTGGAAATCTAATTAAGAGCAGATTCTCCTGCTTGATGAAAACTTAGGTCATAACATATGCAGCTGAATCCTACATGTCAAACATTCATGTGGTTGAGAGAAAAAGCCAAACCAGTGAAACTGAATAAACTAGAGGTGTAACGATAAATCGATCGGCCAATCAGTCGRCCCTGATTCCCATAATTTTGGGTGATTGGTCGATGCTTACATGAGAAGCTGATCTTCTGCAAAGGTCTGAAAATCAGCCACAGTCCCCTTTTGCTCTGCTGTGAGCACTACCTAATGTCCAGTTAAAACAAGTTTGTATTTCTCAGTTATTTTCACTAAAAAAGATTGGGACATTGGAGGTGTATTGTGACCTCATAACACCTGACAGTGTCAGTTCTGAAAAAAGAAATGGTATTGGACAAAATCTGAATTGGCAGGTCAGGCTTTTTAAAGCTCAGCCAGAAAACTGCAATCGGTGCACCCTGAGAATAAACTGATACAGAAGGCTGGACTGAGTCCTGCAGAGCGGTAAACAAGGGACTTTTGCACAAGTTGCTAAAACAAACAGCACTGGACCCCCTCTGCACAACAACAATTAGAGACCTTTTCACCTCTGCTGCGACGAAGCTAACTGTGTCAGAGTCTGATCTTTTACTGTCCCTGACTGCGTGGACTCCTTTTTTTTTTCTAATTTTTTTTGTTTTGTTTTGTTTTCAGACGTAAACGAGTGTGAGATGAGCTCGGCGCTGTGCGGGGAGGCCCTGTGTGAGAACGTCGACGGGAGCTTCCTGTGCATCTGCCCCAACGACAATGAGGAATTTGATCCCATCACCAGCCAGTGCCGCTCCATGGGTACAAGAACAGGGCCAGCACTCAGAGAATTTCATTCTCCGTGCTATCGCTGGGAGACAGAGTTTTCCCTGATTTAATGAGCTGTAACTTATTATCCAAACAAGGGTGACAAGGAGGACATGGCTTACATTGCAATTTTTTTTTTAGTCTGTTTCCATTTATTTTAAAGACTGAAATTGAGGTTGGGTGGGTTGCCTATGAAATTTTGCATCAGTCTAATCTCTCACACAAATAATGAAGTAACTCCTGTATTAGAGCCAAACAAGAAACCCCCATGGGCCTTTTTTTTACTGTAACTTATTTATCCACAAAGAAAAACAAGGATAAGGTGTAATTATTGGCAATCAAAACATAAGATAGGTTGTTCTTCTCTTAAGTAAATGATCCCAAGTACAGGAGTCACACATATTTTAATGTTCTGTCATTTTCGTGAGTCCTGTAAGTCATGAAGACACTGCCACATCTGCAGCTCGATAGGTTTGTGTGTGCGTGAATTGGGTGTATTTGCATTATTGAGCGGCGCGCCCTCAGCCGGGATGTTTTTCCTTCTGCCTGACCACTAAACCCCAGTTATGCCTCTGTGTACCTTTTTGCCACATTCCGCTGTTTGCTTTTGACGTGTGTGAATCAATCATGTGAGTCTGAATGGTGCGTTGGCTCGCATGCAAGTGTTTCCATTTGGGTAAGCCAGCAGCTTACGGGTGAAATGCCTGAGCCCATCGTTTTGGCGAGTGAGCGGGGTCATCAGAGGCAGGCGAGGCGAGGGTACTGCTGATGGATGAAGAGCGTAGGAAAAGTCGTTTTCGATGCTGTGACAGTGTGATGATGTGCTGCTGAAGTGTGCGGCTTCCATCGCTGGGAGATCCGTACTCRATTACTAGCACTGGGTTTAAATTACCCTCCTAAACCACCAAATCTATGTCGAATCCACATTTAGTTCCACTAACCAGGATTCCTGACATGTGCTTCCAAGTCCTTAGAAAATGTTTTCTTTGTTCGTTTACAGCTGAGACTGACACCAAGCCCAGGTTTCCACCGGAGGAAGAAAGGAAGCAGTGCTACTTTAACTTGAATGATGCAAACTTCTGCAACAACGTCTTGTCGCGCAACACCACCAAACAGGAGTGCTGCTGTACAGCCGGGGCAGGCTGGGGCGATAACTGCGAGATTCACCCTTGTCCTCTGCCAGGACAAGGTACAACACCCTCCGCTATCATTTGAGCGAAATGAAGCAAACCTAATGTAATTTGTTACGTTGTTTTAGCACTTTTTCTTGCACCAAATTGTCATTTTTTATTTCTTATACAGATGATTACAACCAGCAGTGTCCTCATGGCAGTGGATTAATAACTTTGCCTGTTTCCTCTGGGCTGAGTCATGGCCAACAACATTACAAAGGTACTTATTCTTACTTAGTAATGCCTTTAATTTCTGCTTGTAGCAACTTAAAAATGCATTTGCACCCCCTTAAAGTGATTGTGACATTCAAATCCTTCAAATACAAAAAGTAATCTATAAACCCTTATCCCTGGCATCCAAGTAATGCTTCTCTATACTAATCCATGAATAAAGACTGCACTGGGAGCAGCAAAACTCTAAGGATTACAGGATACTGCAAAAATATGATTAAGCTTCTGTGGTGACAAAAATACTGAACATTTTAGATTATTTTTTCTAAAGCAAAAACATCTTTATAAAGAGACACATGACTGTACCCATTTTGTCACATAGCTCTCATATTTTCTTTTGAACTTGGCTCAGCCAAAGTGTAACAGGAAGTGWCATCAAAGGGGAACTCTTTAAGAAAGGGAACTCCCTGGTTTTTGTTCATTGAAACACTGTTATCTGAACTCTGACTCTTCTCTTCTCTGATAGTGACTCAAAATGATCTAAAGAAACATCAGATTCTTCTGTACAGTCTGTGTTTTTGTCTTGTAGCAATGTTTACATGCAGACATTCACTTCCTGTTACATTAAATGCAAATATCTTGTCTTTTATTTTTGCAGTATGTTGTTAATGTTACCATTCCAAAAATGCATTCATATTTATTATAAAGATTTGATGCCACTGGTTCTTTACTAATATTAAGATGTGATTCTCTCTTCSTCTTCAGATGCAAATGAATGTGAAATGTTTGGACGTGAGATCTGTAAGAACGGGCAGTGTTCAAACTTCTTTTCTGGCTATACTTGCTTTTGTCACTCCGGCTTTTACTACGACAAGATTCGCCTGGAGTGTGTGGGTAAGAAGTGACAACTGTTTCTGTGATGTGGCATTTTAAATCATTGTCAAGCATTCTTATTGTTGTAAGAGAGGGGTGACCTTCAGTCTTTTTTCATTTTATTAATAGTCTGCTTTAAAGATGTAATAAATGCTAATACATTTTTGTGTATTCTTAACCATTAATGCCTCTGTTTCTTTGTTGTTGTCTGTTTAGATTATGATGAGTGTGAATCTGGAAACACCTGTGAGAACGGAGCCTGTGTGAACACGGCTGGATCTTTCAACTGTTTCTGCAGTCCTCCGTTGGTTTTGGACAGCTCCCGGCGGCGCTGCGTCAGTCTCAACACCACAGAAGGTGTGACAAATGTAGAAGCATTCCTAAATTGTAAACATTTTTTTTCTCAGTCCCGTTTGTTAAAACTTTTTTCGTTTTGTCTGTCAGAAATTCTAGATACAGATCAGGATGTGCACGTGGATATTTGCTGGCGCCGACTTGAGGGGGATAACATGTGTGCCGATCCCGTCCAAGAGCGCAGAACTACGTACACTGAATGTTGCTGTCTGTCTGGCGTCGCCTGGAGTGGGCAGTGTGCCTTTTGTCCCAGGAAAGACTCGGGTAAGACACAAAAGACAGTGCTTCTTTATAAAACTGGGTTTTTTTTAAAAGTGGGGTCTGCAGCCAGGTGGCGCCAAGGGGGCCACAGAAAGCTGGAGTGAAGATAAGAAAACAAGCAAAAAAAATTGAATACCGTTATGATAAAACTGAATAAAACTAAAATATAATTGATAATATATTGAAATGTTATTTAAGAGATTTGATTTATTTTGTTGAATTCTTATCGTCAAATGTTTTTTGAAAAGTTGTTTTTTTCTG